ATGTATATCCAGATCAATCGCCATGGCGACCACTCCATCTAATCCTCTTCACCCCCTCAGGAAATCCAAAATCATCGATCTGATGAAGGCGAGATTCAGAAATGATAATCCGAAGTGAAGTACGTACATCGAATCAGCCCCAACCCCAAGAACACAGCACGATTAGAACGAACAGCTTCACAAATCCATCAGAAATTAACCATGGCGCCTAAACAACCCCAGATATTATTGCCCCCAAAGAGAGATTTTTGATACAGCTGATCAAGCTCGAAGCTACGGTTCATCTAGCGACCGATCGAGAGAGGGAGGAGGAGGCTGCTCGAGCTGTGAGTTATTGCAAGCTACCCCCTGGGAATCATTGCTAATTACAGATAGGTCCCTCTCCTCCCTCCTCTCTCCCTCTCTCTCCTATCTCGTCTACTCCTCCTCCTTCTTCCTCTCGTTGCACTACTCGATTTCCTCCGTGACGGCGTAGATCTCGGCGATCAGGCGGTAGCGGCGGCCCGGCCGCTGCTCCCAGTCCTCCTCCGGGTGCTCGCGTCGCTCCTCCCGGACGACCACGGTGCTCTCGGCGGCGGCCGGCCGCGGGAGGGGCGGCGGCGCCGCCGTGGGCGTGGGCGGCGGCGGCGGGGCGTTCACGGAGCGCGAGGAGGAGGCGGTGGAGGAGGAGCCCGAGGCCGCCGCCGACGGGGTCGTCCCGGTGGTGGACGTGCTGCTCCCGCTCAGGAGCACGAGCTGCTCGGCCGCGTCGAGCTCGCGCGGCGTGAAGGACCACCCCGCGGGCCACGCCGCCGGCGCCTTCTCCTTCTCCTCCGGCGCCGGCGGCCGCGGCTCGCGGCGTAGGGTTTTCATCGACGATCGATTGGCGTGCGCACGCGGCCCTCGGCTAATTTCGCCTTCTTCCTCGCTTTCTTTGGCTTCCTATCTCTCTAGCTTGGTTTTATTTCTCTTTTCCCCTTGGCTTTTAAAGCCTCAGATTTCTTTTTCTTTCTTTTTTTTAATGAGAGGACAGTTTTTGCTTTAATTTCTTGTAGATGTAGATGTATAGCTGGCATAGTGATAAGCTCTGCCCAAATTTGATCTGATTAATTTGGCCATTTCGGATCATTTTCACATTAAAAATTACTACTAGTATTATTTTTATACGCGTTATAGTACTTGGTATATCTTATCTATTGAAGAGAGCTATCTGATTCTGATATGGTAGAACATGAAACACATATATGAAAACATTTAACCCTGCATTAGTGTTCATCTACTTTTGTATGACTTGTTTTATATTCTAAGCATCAAGGATTGTGAGATGGGTTACCCAATTAAGTGCATGCTAATTGAAAGATATACAAGAGTATATGAGTTAAGGAGTCTAGTGGAGGGGGGTGGTCCTATTTCGAGTCAAACGACGACATCCTCTAGCTCATATTCTAATGCCGCGCTAATTTTTAGTACATTAAAATATATAAGTTGTGCATCTCGTACCAAATGCTACAATGACCTCTAGTGCATTTATATACAAATAAATTAATCGGCATTTATATACAAATAAATTAATTGGCGGGGGAATTAAATGTCTCTTCCGGATTCATAAATATCCGATATATGATATCAATTTATAGATATGCTATAAATGTCTAATACACATTGCCGATTCATTACGTAGAGACGCTCCATGCATATGTAAGCGCTATAGTACTCGGTTGGTTTGGCCCATCCAAGGCCGTTTTTTCTGAATTGGGCCGAGCCTTAGGGTAGTTTGGATTATATTGGACTATGTTATACTAATGATAAACCATGTGGTACGCATACTAGTTAACCCTATTTCTTGGGTCAAAACCCCATCCCTAGGTCTCCAATATAATAGTTAGAAATTTTTGTATGATTTGTTCATGTATGCTCTTTCGGTAATATAAACCTATGTCATTTCAATATATATATCATCCTTGCTATCATGTTTTAACTTAAATACTCTCAACTGAAAAGTATAAATGTCACTCACTACCGGAATCAAAATCTTTCGTTGGAGGGGGCCTAATTGAACTTATAGGAACCATGGTCTTTCATTTCAGTATATATAGAGAGTATACGTACCTAGCTATGCTTTATGCTTTGTAACAATATCACGTACATTTGCATCTAAATGGTACATATATTTGCGTGGAAGGGGGATCATTTTTACTTCAACACAAATCCTAACCATATATCTCAGAAGGTTCAGAGAAACTAAGCATATATTAATTATATCCTCCACTTAAGCTTTTGAATTATTAAGCTAGCTATACATTAATTGGTCATAGCCATTAAAACCCATTGCATGCTGAAGTTAGACATCAAGTGTACACATACCCATACGGGACTCCATGGTGCCCGAGATCCAAGGTATAAAACACACAAATTCTCTCAAATTTTTAAAAATTTTCAAATTATGAGTATATACCTAGATATATGAATTTGATTCATACAAATACCTAACAACAAAACAACTCAAACTCAACTTTATTTCACAATTTATTATTACATACCTAATGAATTATATGTTCGGAAGTTATATACCTAAAACCAAAATCTAACAAAAAAAGTTCAAACTCAGTTCAAACTTGTTTGAACTTGTTAGTAAAGAAGTTAATGTTCATATCTAAACATTTTAAAAAATTTCATACTCATTCAAATTGGGTATATTCTCAATTTAAATCTTGGAGCCCATGCACCATGTAGCACCAGTTAATTTATCTGTATATATATACATAGTATGTAGTTAATTTTAGAAAGCCACGGGAAGACATGGTTTTTATACTGAAATTTCCTATGGAAAATGTGAAATTTGACCGGAGATGCACACGAACGGTAGTCTCTCTTTCCTGGAAGAAACCACACGTTATCACGCACGCATATATATATACAACTGATACGCACACGCATATACATGCAAGAAATGCCAAATCCTGCATCGCTTTAGAACTCTTTTTGGTATTAATTAATTCTGTATAAAAATCATTAACTTATTCTAAAGAAAAGGATGCAGATATTGCGTAAATGTTTAAGCCATACGGTCGTTGTTTATGTTAATTAGGCAGGTTATTCAACACACAATGGTCGGTCTGTGCTAACCACACGGTATACGGGGTTGTTTGGTTCGTGACTACATGTTGCTACACTTTGCCACACCTCAAGTTAGGCAGTTTTGATTAAGTTAGCCAGACGTTTGGTTCATTGCCACACTTGTGGCAAGATTCTTTTTCTAGCATTTTGGTCCCATATGTCATTGTCTCGGAAAAGTGTGGCAATGTTATAGATTGCTAGCCAAAGTGTGATGCCAAATTTGTTCGTCTAACCTTAGGCAAGCTTGGCAAGAAAACTATGGCAACTCTAGGCAATGTTAGTATATGAACCAAACAGCCCCTACATGCTTTTGTTAACTGATAAGTAATTAATTAACACTTGACATTCTGCAATTAAAGTTATTAAACTCCCTTCACAACAAACTAACACCTTTTAATTTGCAGAACTCTCCAATTGCTTACGTTTAGCTGCTCTATCTTCCATCCACTTTCCTCAATTAATTTCCAGTGTGATTTGACACTTGGGGCAAAAGTTCTGGAGATCATGGACGGAATTAAGGATGTTTTGTTGTGGAATTCCTACGTGTCATGTTGCCAGGAATGGTTTAGCTTGCTGAAATGAACAATTGTAGCTACCAAGAAGTTTTCCCATATCAGCAAGAAACCAAATTAGCTACCAATTTCAGTACCTGAATATATATATAGTATCTAAATGTAATTCTAAGTATGACAGTATGAACGGTAGATTCTCTTGTTAATTTTTTTTTGGAAATTAAAGATATACTCCTGATGAGAGTAATGACAACTAATGAGAGATACAATTTGATCAGTAATAATCTGAACGACACATGCTTAACAGAATGCAAATATATCTACTGCTAATTAAGTTCTTCTCCACAAACACCTATGGGTATGTCTGTGCAAGGAAATAGGATTAATATAAAGAACTTATTGCCAACAATTACACATTTGCCAGACAAACACATCTGCACGAGATATTTAGCTTGCAGAGCTAGATTTTCCGTCCTGAATGCAGTTAGCTTAAAACTGTGCTCCAGTATTATGAGCACGTACGTTGTGCTGATCTTTTCAGGGATAGGTAGATCAGTATTATCAATGCGTTGATCTAGCTATTTATCAAAGCCCTGAAATTTGACGGCACGGCACGGTTGATCTTTTCAGAGCATATATGCGTCAATTCGTGCGTGCGTACATGCCATTGGCTTGTTCTTGCAAGCAAACTGTAGGCCATGTTTAGATTCCAAATTTTTTATTTAAACTTTCAACTTTTCTGTCACATCGTTTTAATTTTTTTAAATTTCTAATTTTGGCATAGAACTAAACACAGCCGTAGTAGTACTACTCTGTCTGCACCGGATCAAGCCTATCAAACTGCAGCGGTATTCAAACTGGAGTACCCTTTCAGATACAGGTAGTAGTTGCAGTACAATTGTACAAATTCAGATACATATACATTGCCAATTCAAACTTCCAAAGCTGCCAACCCTTTGAATTTTGATTGATACTCCTGTTGCCAGCTCGTGACCACCTGAGAAGTTATAGCCAGCTAGTTCTGCTTCCCGATTCCTGACCGATCGATCGATTCCGCAAATTTCAGAGCTGCCAATTCCAATTCGAACTTTGAAAAACGTACACCTTGCTTCACCTGCATTTGTACCAGTATTCAATTTCAAATCTACCCTGGCTAGCTGCAAACGTGGGGCCACGCGATGCGTATGCTTGCAGGGAAGCTAGAATGCATCTCAGCGAAGCTGCGCCTGCGTCGACGAGGGTGACGAACCTTGCAGATCTGGAATGTTCTAGAACTAGGCGTTTGATTTGGATTTCAGATACAAACTGCAAGTACAGATCCCGAGGTCTCTGGCCACGGTGACGCGAAAGAGAGAAAAAAAAAAGATCGGGAGTGGTGGTGGAGCATTTCAATTTTCAAGATCCGGAAACTTGGAGCTACAGCTAGCAGGTCTGGGCCCAGCTAGCCACAGTTCAAAATTCGAATTTCAAATTTTCAAATGGGAGTGGTACGTAAGCAGCGCGAACAACTCCAAATCTTGCTGTACAAGCTGTAACACTAAAACGAGTCCTTGTCGTCTTTCTCTTTCTTCTCTGAAAAGCTAGACTAAAAGCACGGACATGTATAATACTAGTAGTACTCCAAAAACAACCCTCAGATTTCGTGGTAATTACACAAAAGCCCTTCTCCCTCCCCATGGCTTCCCTCTCCGGCGATCCCAAAGCTTAGCTTTGCTTGCTAGTACGACACGGCGATCTCCGGCGACTCGTCGTCCCTCTTCCTCTTCCTGCTGCTGCTGCTGCTGCTGGCGGCGGTGGCGCGCTTGGGCGCCGTGGCAGCGTAGAGCTCGGAGAGTAGACGGTACCTCTTCCTCGCCCTCCTGTCCAGCTCCATCTCCGCCGCCATCCCGGTGAACTCCTCGATCTCCTCGCCCGCCGCCGTGGTCGCCGCGCAGGTGTTCACTGACCGCGGGGAGGACGTCGTGGAGGAGGACGACGAGGAGGAGGACGCCGCCGCCTCGTCCCCTCCGCTGCTGCAGCTGAGCTGCACGAGCTGGTCGGCGACCGCCAGCTCCGCCGCCGTGAAGACGCCCCCGATCCCGAACAGCCCGCACGCCAGCTGCTGCGGCGCGCACAACGCCATGGCTAGCTAGAGAGATGAGATGAGGCCTCGAGCTCGAGGAGGAGGATGGAATGGGAATTTCTAGGTTTTGGTTGGGGCGAGATGCGAAATGGTGGGGAAGAAGATGAAACGGCTTGGAGTTGGAAGGAGGAGGAGGCAGCTTTATAGCGGGGGAAACCGACTCGGTCGGTCGGATCAGGCTCGAGGCGACGTTCGGTGACACTGGCGTGTGGGCCCCGAACGTCATGCTCGGTCGGCCGATTCGGTCGGTCGGGATCGGGCTCGAGGGCGGAGAGACGTTCGGTGACACTGGCGTGTGGGCCCCGGTGGTCAGGGTCGGAGGAGTGGACGGGCGCGGCCGCCTCATCGTGGGTCGCTTGACCGTTGGTTGTGCTGGGCCCTTCGCGGGGAGCCGATGGGAGCGCGGCACGTGGATACGTGGGGGGTTGCAGTTGAGTGGGCCTTGGACGGAGGAAGTGGTGGGCTGGGCACTGCAACTGGGCCCGATCCTGGAGACGAAAGCTGGAAACAACTCCGTCCAGATTGAATTGAACTGTCTCTTTGCGAGCATCCATGAAACAGCTGCAGGTTGGTGTTGCATACAGCAGTCAAAAATTTTGAATTTGATGATTAAAAAAAAAAAGGAATCTGGATGCCCTGTGGTGTGTAATCACCAAAGAGCCTACTGGTTTCAAAATTCAGAGTAGCCTACTATTACTACTTCCATCATTCCATGGAGTTATGTAGGAATTTGGAGGAGTTTGTTCAGAAACTACTTGAGGACTGTAGGTTTATCTGAAAATTAAATATATTTTTCAGGGATTGTGACGCCTATTCTGCATCCGGATGTGAAAATATATGGGCTGCTCACCTTGTTGACGAGAGATCGATGGTCCTGTAAGACCAGGTTGCAATCATACTCTGTCAGATGTGGGATAAGGAATTGAGGACAATGTCCTCCATGCATTGTACTGCAGGAGACCCAATCGCCACAAGAATCGGGTCCAGAATTGTGCAATCAATGAAATCCGCCGACTAAATGATGTGCACAAAATCAATGCTGCTGGATTACTGGAGCTTTCTTGCGACGATGGTTTCGGACGCTTCAGTTGTTGTCGTCGACTTGTCGCTTGCAATTGCGATGCACGAGAGCAGTTCAGAGTTTAGACCCTTCGCCGGCGGCAGCAGAAGCTTCGACGAGAACCTCTCCGGCCGCTGCGGCGGCGGCGGCGGAGACGGCTTTTCATCGGCAAGTGCTACCCTTCAATCTCCCCACTGTGGACACTGAATTGAGCTGCCAAGCAAGCGTAATTTCGCCCTGATCTTGCTGGCAGCAGGATGTAGTACTTGTCACTTGATCTGTTTCTGTCGCCTCATTTATCTTCTTTCTAGTATTCTGCATTCCATTTAGGTTTCTTTTCCATTCATGCGTAATTGCAATCTTATGCTGGTAAGATGCATGACCGAAAAAATCAATCAGACTTTCACCAGAGCTTTCGTCCCTGAGATCGTAATGAAAGAAGCTACTAAGTTTGTTCTGAAAACTCAATCAGAGTTCAGACATACTCCGTAACTGAGAAGAGAAATGTTGTCATCGGAAACGCCAGATCAAGAAAGAAAACAAAACCACAACTAAAGAAGCTAGACCAAAAGAGCCTGAAAAAACCAACCCAAACTTAACTAGAATTTTCTGACCCAGGTATCACGAGCGAGCAATCACATGATCAAATCATTATTCAGACTTGACCTGGTACACAACACAACACACACCAGTAGAGATCATTATCAAAGCAGGCAGAGGTGTGCTACGTCACTGTACTTGTAGATGTCGTCGACGACCAGGCCAACCTGGCAATGTAAATTATGCAACAACCCTAGCAAAGCCATTGTTGATTTATTAATTAGCCATTTAAGTTCCCAAATGCAAGAACACACGCACCACCTAACCTCTCTGTATACCAATTCCAAATTCGATCGATCATGGTGGCCAAGGCTGCTTGTTTGCCGTCAGCCGCCGCCGTGGCGCTACTTCTCCTTGCGGCGGCGGCGGCGGCGGGCTTCGCCGGCGCGACGGAGTACACGGTCGGCGACTCCGAAGGCTGGACCATCGGCCCCAGCTACCTCGCCTGGTCGACGAAGTACAACTTCACCGCCGGCGACACTCTAGGTCAGTTCGTTCGTTCGCTCGCCGTCGATTCGCTCATGATCAGCATCTCGTCTACCTCTGGCTCGATTCGATCTCCTGATGTTGTTGCGAGCTGTGCAGTGTTCAGCTACGTGCAGCGGCAGCACGACGTGCTCCGGGTGTCGCAGGACGCGTTCCGGACGTGCGACCCGGCGAACCAGACCGTGCAGCGGTGGGCGTCGGGGCGCGACGTCGTGGAGCTCGCCGCGCCGGGGAGCTACTACTTCATCTGCAACGTCAGCGGCCACTGCCTCGGCGGGATGAAGTTCTCCGTCGCCGTCGGCGAGCCGCTGCCCCCGCCATCGCCGCCGCCGCCTCCCCCGCGTGCGCCCTTCCTGGCGCCGCCGCCGCCGCCGCCCGTCGGCTCCGGCGCCGCTGCCGCGTCGTCGACGTGGCGGCGACGGCGGGTGGCGTTGATGGTGCAGGTTTCTTGCCTCGCTCTGATCATCATCGGCATGTGGAATTAGCTGTTGATTAGTTGCATGATGTGATTGATCAAGAATGTTTATGCTTGATCGTTGACCTTGACCGTACCATTCATTGCATTGGTTGGAGAGAGAGTGATGATGTGTTGTCGTGTTGATTCGTTTTGTGCATGGATCACAGGCTCATAGAGTTGACTTGGTGTTCTATTGGTCAAGTACGTACTGTCTGATCACTTCTTCTGAGTTCTGAAAGTGCCTGTACTATTCTCCAGCGTTTTTTATTTTTATTTTACAAATGTTAAATGATACTTTTGTGAGATTTCACATGGTAATTTTGCATCATATGCAGGCCCTTTTTTTTCATGGTTATCGATTTTGGTTTTCGTTAAAACGCTTTCCATGCTTTTAAACAGTGTATTTCATGAAAAAAAAATACCGTATGAATTTTTTCTTCAAATATATTTTTAAAGTAACTTTTTAACTTTATATACTAGTTAATTCATTCGTTAATACTCTCAAATAGTTACATAAAATATCAGGCTATCTATAAATTTCATCTATCTCAAACGGGTCCCAATAGGCCGGCCCAATTGATTGAGAGCACGGCCGAATCCGGCCCATACAGTTACTGTTAGCCAAAATCTCAATTTTTGACTGCACACTTGTTCATTCAGTACTGGTAGCTCTCTGCAATCCAATCCAGTAGCCAGGACATTTCATTCCCAAGCAATCAAAATGGAGAGTTTGTAGAGAGAGAAAGAGAGAGTATGAGAGGGAGTTACTTAATTTTTTTACATATATACAAGCGCGTGCACACGCGCGCACATCACTACATACGTAACATCCACTTACACATCCACAAATGCACACCCTAACACACACTCATAGATATAAAAACCAGTGGCACATACATAATCTCACTAAGTTTCTGTTAAAAGCTTAGTTACATGCACGTAATAACAGTTTCACCGCCACATAATTGATCCTTCCCCATCCAAGAGAGAGTTAATGATCACGAAGGATCATATGCCCATACATGATATCATGTGTGTTTCACTAAACCATCACTTTGGAATAGCTCCGCATGGAAGGCATGTCCAATTCTAGCCAAGCACACAACTCCGGTGTGAAGGCAAGTGATGTGCCTGGGACATCTTTGGCTCGTTTGGCACATGGATAAAGCTCTTCCATTACCGAAATCCCTCCTCTAGGGGGATTGCGTTGATCCTCTTCCCATCAGCTGATCCCCTCCTGTAACGGAAGTTGATCCTTTTTTTGTATATGGATGAAGCAAATTAAAGTTGCTTGGATCAGTAGTACTGGACAGAGTGAAAGGAAAACGATTGAGGTAGACGACAACGTACTAAGACAGTGGGAGAAGCAAGGAGATCGAGGAGGACACTGGCCTTACAACTGAGATTATGTCATATCCAGTGTAGCAAACATCCAATGGCTCGATCGAGAGGATCGCTACAGTGCTCTCTCTGACAGAGGCGACGTAGCGGTAACGGTGCACAAGATTAGAAATGAGAGGCGGAGCTCAACTGAGTGACAATATGTCAATATGTGAGCGAATCAATGTGTTTTGTACCGAATTATGGTTGATCTCGATTGAACGACTGTGAAGATGGCCATGAAACACAACCTAATGAATGGCGATCGCATGCATTATATTATTCCGCATACGAAAATTTGTACATGGCTAGATAATTAAGCTGCACAATATATATATATACCCAGTATAATAATTACCACGACAACATACGCACACATATTGACATAATTAAGCCTGCTACGTAACAAAGCATCATCCATAAACACGCGTACCGTGCCGTGCATGCATACAGATACATACAGGCACTCCACTTATTTTACAACCATTCACACTCTCACACTGAAAGTCCCAAATAAAACTGACAACAGACGCATGCATCGATCATATCATATGCATGATCGTCCATAGTCGTAGATTGTAAATTGAACAACGAAATCAAGAACAATTAATCAAGCAGCTGATCGATCTCTCGTATCAAATGAACATCGTCGTCTTCCTCACGCCGTCACGCTGGTGCTCCTGAACGAGCTGAGCGCCTTGGCGGCCTCGCCGCGCAGCACCAGCTTGTGGTACGCCGCCGCCAAGAACGCCCCGATCACCGGCCCCACCCAGAAGATCCACTGCCAAAATTCATCAAATTAATTACTAGTCGATTGATTAAGAAAAAGTTTTAAGAAGTGAATCTATTCGAATGAATTTAATTTTGTTCGTTCTCTCTCACGTGGTCTTTCCAAGCTGCGTGCTGGTTGTACAGCACGGCGGCGCCGAGGCTCCTCGCCGGGTTGATGCCCGTGCCGGTGATCGGAATCGTCGCCAGGTGCACGACGAACACCGCGAACCCGATCGGCAGCGGCACGAGTACGGGGATGAAGGAGTCGCGGGCGGTGCGCTTGGGGTCGGTGGCGGAGAAGACGGTGTAGACGAGGATGAACGTGCCGACGATCTCGGCGCCGAGGGCGCCGGCGGCGGAGTAGCCGTCGCTGACGGTGTTGGCGCCGCCGCCGAGCGCGTCGTAGGGGCGCTTCATGATCCCCTTGACGATGCCGGCGCCGGCGATGGCGCCGAGGCACTGCGCCACGACGTACAGCACGGTGCGGACGAGCGACAGCTTCCGCCCGAAGAAGAGGCCCAGCGTCACCGCCGGGTTGATGTGCCCGCCGGAGACGCCGCCGGTGCAGTAGACGAGGACGAATATGGTGGCACCGAACGACCACGCCACGCCGAGGTAGCCGACGCCGGTGCACGCGTCGACGGTGGCCCTCTGGTTCTTGTACCCGATCACGGTGGCGATGCTCACGTAGAGGAAGATGAGCGTCGCCATGAACTCCGCGATGAGGGCACGGTACAGCGACCACTTACCCAGCTCGCTCGTGTCCAGCAGCGGCGCCGGCGGCGGGTCCCAGTACGGCGCCTTCGCCGCCGCCGCTCCGCCCTCCACCGTCTCCACGGCCACCTCCTCCTTCGACGCCATGGCCTTCTCTCCTACTCCTTATCACCACGAAGACGATGAGCCAACAAAGAGGGGAGGTTTAAATAGGCAAGAGGAGAGAGCATGGCTTGCCGCGAGAGAGAAACGAGATATTTGGCGCGGATTCTTTCCTTATGATTCACTGCTTCCAGTACATTTTCTTTTTCCGATTTACTGAAAAAGTGTCGCCACATTATGTGGCTGAGTACTGTCGGATTTTTTTTTACTTTATTTGATGATCTGGAATTGCTGTCTTTGTAGCAGTCAACTTTGTTGTTGTAATTATATATTTATACAAATTTACAATATAAATACATGCAGACTATTTCTCTACTATTATAAAAACTGAAGATGTTTTTAACGGTATCTTGGTACGTCATCTGCATATAAATCGGTTTTAGTTTTATGTTAATCTCTATCTCTTCTTAAAAAAACAAGAAATTACCTTCGTCAGTAAAAGAAAGAAAAAAAAAAGGTCCGGCACAAAAAGTTAAAAAAACAAAAGAAGAAGTCCGACTGTAAAATAAAAAGTCCGACTAAAAAGGTGAAAAAAAGAAAACAAAAGGTCCGACTAAAAACGTTAAAAAAAGCTTTTGTAGTCGGTAAAAAGACATGTCGTGGTAATAAAAATTGTCCGACTCACGAAAATAAAACGTAAAAACTCTCGCCAGTAAAAAAACAAAAATGTCCGTTTGGTTTTTTTTTCACCGGTTTTTTCCCACGCGCTAAGGCTTTTAGTTTTGTTCATCTATTTTTTTATTCCGATGTGTTCAACACGCCTCTCCCGGACGCTTTTCGTTTGTTTCGTCATTTTTTTCTCATAGTAAATTTTACCATAGCTAAATAATATAACCATAATAAAATTAAAATAGCATTTAGCCGTTACAACACACGGATATTTTTTTTAGTTTTTGTTAAAAAAATATAGCGTAAATATAGCTACACTTTTTTTTTCTCGATTGAGAGTTTAATTATACCAAAATTAAAACGATGGTACGTAAATTCGACGTGAACACGACATGATTCAGAATCCTGTGATCATGTCCACGACACAGCGACGTTTTTGGTGCTCATGTGTAATTAGCTCCTGTGTCACTTAGCTAAGACGCCAGCGGGAGTGATCACTACATCCCCTTTGTCCAATTCCGGCGAGCTATCGTCTCTTGCGGCGGCGGAGGCATGGAGATTCCACGTCGGCTGTAAGTTTCTGTTTCCCTCGCGTGCTCCGGCGAGGTCGCCATGGCTGCCGTTTTCCGGGCAGCGGCGACCTCTTCGTCGCGTTGCGGCGCGCGGGGATTTTTTAATTCTCGGCGTCCGTCCGTCCTGTTGCTGTCGCGGCGCACGCGACGCTTTTGTTCTCTTACTAGGTTTAGTTTACGTCTCCGACGAAATATGGCACCGTGTAATCTATACGTCCAAAAGAACGAATTTATAACGAAGTGGTAATACTCATCTGTCCCAAATTATAATGTCTATATTTTTTTTTACTTTGACCATTAATTTATTTCATATTATGTTTCCGATGAATATAAAATTAACATCATCTGAAAATACATCAAAATATAAATATAGTAATATAACATTCATAATACTTAGTATGTATTTCCTCCGTTTCACAATGTAAGTCATTCTAACATTTCTCACATTTATATTGATGTTAATGAATCTATATAGATATATATGTCTAGATTCATTAACATCAATATAAATGTGGAAAATGCTAAAATGACTTACATTGTGAAACGGAGGGAGTATATGTTTAGTATGATCATTGGTCAAAAGTTATCAAATTTAATTTTCCTAGAAAAGGGGACGCCCTATAATTTGGGACGGATGGAGTATATTCTAATACAATAAATTTGGACACTTTTGTATTCAGATCCGTTCTATTAGATATATCACGTTTAGTTTTAGGTTTGTTTTTTTTCGGATGGAGGGAATATTTTTGTTGTGCAATTAAACGTACACCAGATAAATAATTAGTGAAAGAACAGTTAACTACGTGGAGTAGTAGCTGTTTAATTTTGGCTGCTGCTCACTGCTGCGATTGCGACGGGAGGACGTGTGTGAGTCAAGCACGTGCTGTGATAGTCCAGGGCTCCAAGGCTGTACTACTTGTTGGGCCCAGCCCAGCAATTAGTGGGCCACGAGGCCCACAATGAGTTCGTGCAGAGCATGTGCTGCCCGAGAGAGAGAGACCAACGGCCCACCAAGTTTGGTTAGACTGAATTCTTATTTCTTCTCCTTTGTTTGTTTTGGATTTTTGGCAGTGAACACCAACTCTGATCTGGAATGCAGTTACAATTTACACAGATTATTTCTTTTTCTCAAATATGCAAACGGATTACGCGTCAATACATTTACAAAGGTTATGTGATCCTTTTTAGACTAAGTCAGAGCATCAGATTAATTTTAAGGTGTTTGGATGGCGAAAAAGAATAAGGAATCAATGTCGTCTTGGAAGGCGTTATCGATTTCTGCAAGTTAGGTGAGTGATGAGTGAGTTAGGTGCAAGCGCAACCATGCGATCGATGCGTTCACTGGACGACTTATGACAGTTAATCAGTGATGATATGTCAAGATTACCAATCATCTGGACGATCATGGTAATACATATACTAGTATGCCAGTTGTATGATTAGGTTGTCCGCGTGGAGAGAGTAGCTAAGCAACACCGTATATTTTGTAGTATTTTTCATTGTAGTACTACTATACTTGGAACAAAACATTATTTTTTTCCTGCTCCTGCACAGGCACTAGCTGATTCGTGATCAATCTTTGCATGGTCAAAGAGAGAACCTGATACTGCCATGCCATGCTGGCTATTGAAAAGAAACCATTTTTTTTCTTTTGTGTATGTTTTTTTGTAGAACTTTCTTTTTTTTGTATGTCGTTAAGTTGTGAAAAACAATGGGTAGAGAAGACGTAGTGGGATCGATTCGTTCAAGAAGTTTTTGGAAGATGTGACGGGCCATTTATTAACAACAACAACAACAAAAGTCTCAAGGCCGGGTCAGTTCAGCGAGCGCCGCAAAAAAGTGATGATCGAGCGCTTCTATCTGTCCCATAAAAAATTAACACAGTACATGATATGTTACTATATCCTAATATTATAAATCTAAATATACAAATTTATTATAATAAAATATGTCATATTTAATTATAAATTTGTTTTGTATAGGACGGATGAAGTGGTTTGCATCGGATGCATCAATGCATGCATGTACATAGCGGTGGTGGAGAGTTTACTTAGAGCAAGGATAATAATATAGCCACCTGCCGGCTCTATACTAGTACCATGTCACCTATAGCCATCAATAATATAATAGACTGGCTGTTAGGTTAGCTATTTGTTTACCTCTTTTGAAGATTTAGATATTTAATATTCGCATGTACACCTGATTTCCTCGCATCTGGTTGGAAGAAAGCAGCTTTTTCTCGTGTGTTGCGCTTCAGCCGGGCGATAGATGGAACGCCCGCTCTATCCTTTTTCTTCCCTTCTCACTCCTCCACGTCAAATTTGGCTGACGCGTAGCGTGCTAGCGCCGGCGGATTAGGATGTATTAAACCTGCTCTTAATTGTGGCTCACCGACACAGCACCAACACATCATAAGTCAAAAAAGCAAATACTCTAATGAGTGTACTTTATATTTTTATTCTCAGGGTTCAAAAATTGATGAAAAATAAACTTGACAAAATGACTCTAAAATTAAGTTTTAAAACCTAAATTCTGGTTGATGACGAAAATGTTAGTGTATTGACCGAGCGCGCATATTAAAGCAAACAAAGACCTCGTTAGGGGACGAGGCGACACGTCACGTTCATGCCCAGTGGATCGCAGCCGTATAATACATACCAGTCTACATGGACGGAGCAGATCGTATGAGACGATCCTGGTCAAACATTCCTTCCCTGCTTGGCTGCGAGAGGATGGCGTCGTGTGGGCCCCACGGACGGAACGTCATTACCAGCCCAAACAAGGCCAAGTTAATTAATTAAGGCCTTAAATCACCAATCCCGCGGGGCCCACTCCAACAAAGCCGATTCGAATCAGATCGAAGCGAGGCCCCCTTTTGACCGGACCGACCGACCGACCGACCGCATGCACGCAGGCGCAGCTCGCCCTTTCGGCGCGCGCGCCACGCACCGCTCGGGCTCGTGCCGATCCGACGCGCGCGACGACCCGACCGTGCGTGTGGTCGCGCACTGTACAGTGACACGAGCGCACGTACCCCCGCGTCATCCGGTCAAATGTGCAACGCACGCACACGCACACGCGCGTGACACGTCTGGTCAGGTCAAACGTGCGTGTGTATGTCATACGCTGGGTCGGTACACCGGGTTGTCGTGGCAACTCACCGTCGCGTACGTCGACATGTCACGTTCCGTTTTTTTATTTCTTTCACTCACACACACACATACATCACCGTACATCACACTCACCCGTGAATACAGACAGATCTTATCTTAACGTACGCTGTACACGCGAAGATCAACCATAAGTCTATATTCTCAATAGAATCTTAATAACCCATGTTTACATGTTGTTGTGATGATCATAGACAACATAATTTAAACCTTGATATATGAAACTATGCAACCACGGTCTACCATCGTATCATGTGTCCTTCCTCATCCAATCATGGTGACAACATATTTAGGCTGTGTTTAGTTTCTGAAATTGAGGAGAAGTTTAAGAAAAATTGTAGTTTGAAAAAAAAGTCGAGAGTTTATATGTGTAAAAAAAAATAGATGTGATGAAAAGTTGAGAGTTGAGGAAAGTTTGGCGTGAACTGAACACACCCTTACTCTTACACTGGTGTACACCTAATTTACATTGTACTAGCCGTAACCAGTATGAAAAATGTCTGGATGTTGACTACTTGACCTGACACGGTTAGCTAGCAGGGTATCCACGCGACCTCTCTCACTAACGGATGGGGCCCGATCGGTGTCACTCAGTCTAGTGAGCTAACCTCACTAGTGACGCAAGCACAAGGTAGCTCCTCATGAAAACCTCTCCGTTTGTCATGAATAATTGGTCTTGTTTTTCTAACTAATAATTGGTATTGTTGAGCCGAAGGATATGATAAAACTGTTTATCAATCATATTGAAAAATTAGAGAAGTTTTACTTTAAAAATAAGCGTATAATAAACTCTAGATAACGATTAAATCCTCCCTAAAACAACTGAGAAATCGGATTTTTAAATTAAAAACATACTGATTTACGAAGCCTAGGCATAGGTCATTTGCTAAATACCTTGGCCGCTCAATAGTAACCCAACGTGTTTCGCAAAGACCATGCTCCTCCACGAATCTTTGGCCACAATTTTACTTACACTAATATATTCCATCAACACGTTGTAACTACTCCCTCCGTCCTATATAATATAAATGATTTTGGAAGGATGCGATATATCCGATTCGTAGTAGGATATTTCACGTCCCTCCAAAATCTTTTATATTGGACCTGTTAGGTTGGTAGCAGCACTAAGCAACGCAGTCACAACCGCTCATATCATGCATCGCAGACTCGCAGCTACAGCGCTGCTATATAAATGGCTACCGAACACACCCGTTATGGGACGGTGGGAGTAATAAACGAAATTATGAAAACGTCGTGCTGTTTTTTCTCTGAATTTTGTTCAAATTTATTACAGCAGCAGGAGCGGCCACAGCACAGCACAGCGAAGCAAAGCCGCTGCTGTTTTGTTGCAACAGATCCCGTCGTCCTCTCTCTCGGTCTCCACCGGAATTTCCCCGAAATACCCTTGCAATCCCCTCTAATTTTCCAACCTAGCCTCGCACCGCCACTGCTCTCTCCTCTCCCCGACCTCCTCCTCCCCTCTCCTCTTCGCCTCCTCGTCTCGTCTCCTCCGTTTCCCATTTCGTCGCGACCCAAAACCCTCACCTCCAATCCAAGCTCCCCGCCCCCGCACCCCCATCGCCCCGATGTCGCCGGCCGCTGGTGGCGCCGCCCCGACCCAGCTGCCGCCGCCACCGGTTGCTGCCTCCCCCTCCCCCCCTCCGCTGGCTGCGGCGGCGGCGGCGGCGGCGATCGCGGGGCCCGAGGGCGACCGCGCGCCGCCGCCGCAGGGGAATCGGCGGGATCCGGCTGGTTCCGCGGAGGGCGCCGATCCGGGCAATGCGGCGGCGAGGAAGACGGCGTGGAACGTGCCGGCGCCGCCCCTCGCCGCGGCGGCGGCTGCGGGGGCGGGGGTGGGGGTCCCCGGCGGCGGCATCATGGGGGGCGGGCCCGGGTCGTGGCCGGCGCTCGCGGAGTCCGCGGCGGCGCGAGGGTCGTGGCCCAAGTCGGCGTCGTCGGACTCCCTCAAGTCGCTCTCCGATGGCTCCGCCCCCTCCGCATCGGTATTGAATCTCGCGATCAACTCGTTAAATTCCGATGCGGTAGCATCTAGAGAATCATCTCTCGCTTTAGTTTATCCAGTGTTTGATGAATCTATTGATGCGATCAGGAGGATTTGATTGTGCCATCTGTGCAACCGCATCCAGTTGCTAATCCGATCTCCGGTGGCTCAAACCCTACCTCTTCGCCCCCACCTCCCAATGCTACCGTGGTGGTTACCTCGGAACAGAACGGCAACACAGACCAGTCAAATCCAGTTCGGCATAGCAGCGGTGGCCACTGTGCTGGTAGTAATAGCAGCCGTGATGGAAACACTAGCGATGGTGGTGATGGGAGCTGGAACGACGGAGGCCTTGGTAGTGGAAGCGGTTCCAACAGCAGCTATGGACACGGCAACAGCACCAACGGTGCTGGTGGTGCAAATATGAACAATATCATCCATAGCAGTGGCACCAGTAGCAGTGCCAATGACAGCAGCAGGAGGATATCTGGCAATAACAACTGGAACAATAACGGACGCAGTGCTGGCAGCAACCATAATGCTGCTGGCAGTGGTGATGGGAGCAACAGAAACCTCTGGAACAACAATGGCCGAAATGGTGGTGGCAGTAGCAATGGTTTTGTTGGTCGTGGTGGTCACCGGAATCGTCGCGACCATGAGAGAGGGGGTAGTTTCTCCCCTAGGAACTACCCCCGGCACACGCCCATGCCACCCCAGCAACAACAGCCAGGCATATACCAGCCTGGACCTTTTCCACGACCACCGCCGCCGCCGCCCCCTGGCCATTTTATGGTGCCACAGCCTTTTGTGCCATATGTTCCGCACTTTGCATACCCTGGTGAGTGTGAAATTTGTTAACTTCTTTGTACAACTTCTCATCCTTTTGTTGTAATGTGGTTAGTGTGATGATGTGCAGCTGATGTGCAAGGCTATCCTTTCTATCTCCCACCTATGGAGCAGTTCCAGAACATGCACCTTGTCCGGCCACAAATGCAGCCATTATGGGTTCCCCAGGATCAACAGAATCTTCAAGAGGATATCCGCACGCAGATAGAATTCTATTTTAGGTAGTGAATGTGTTATTTTTCTTTAGGTATTCATGTTGTTTCCTGGTGCTAATTGTTTTTTCTTTTCATCTATTTTGTGGTAGCACTAATAATCTGTGCCATGACACATTCTTGAGGAGACAAATGGATGATCAGGGATGGGTACACATTGACGTAATCACAAAATTTAACCGGGTTAGTTTTTTCCATTATGATTTTATTCTTGTTCCATTGTTATATAAGGTTGTATTGTTAATGTGATTTCTTATTTTACATCCCTTGGCCCTCACACACTGAATGGCGCTGTGTAAGATAATAGATAGTGTTTGTTTATGCATAGCTTCAGATGAATGAGATCATAGCTAATGTTTGTTTATGCATAGCTTCAAAACTGCCTGATAATTCTGCTGTTAGAATGTCAGATAGAAAATTGTTATTACTGCACAACTCTAATCCCTATGGTTTAGAGTGTAGTTCTTGTAGGCATATTATTTCTCGTTTCTGCCTGATTCATGGCGTTGCTGCTAGGGAGGGTGGTTCTCACTTATCAATGTTCACAAGATATGTGAACATATAAAATGAGAATAGTCATATGCTTGGTGCAAGGCAATAAAAGATACCTCTATATACTGCAAAGTAGAATGTATTAATGTTACAATTCTCGCTCGTAGTTATAGATAAAAAAAATACATTTGGAGTTTCTTAAAGGAAAAACTCAAATTATTTCTCTGGTAGACTTACATGGGTTGCTAAGTTACACCAAACTCAATGTCTTTTTCTTCCAGAACGACTTATTTGTATTTTTTTAATGATCCATTCAGCCAATCAATCCACCAAAATGTTGATTGCAGTTCATAACAGCATTGCATCTGTTCTTGTAGTTGGATTGTAATTTGTTTTTTTTTAGTAAACAGTTTCATCTATTTAACAGGCAGTATGATAGTATCCCAGCGGTTATATCTCCTTTATTATCCTGGATAAAAGAAGTTCATTTTTCCTTTTAAAGATGCATTTCTGTTAGAAGATTATAGTATCTCTACTAGTAACTTGCTGCATTTTGTCCTCTATAAATTTGTAAGATGAATGTTCAATATGTACCCTTGCTTCACCAAAATGTATCCAATACACTGTATTGTTTGCAGGAAGCTATTATAGTTCTTGTACTATGTTTACAGCATCCTGTACTCATGTTTCCTTCTTTTTTTTGGCAAATTGTTCTGAGGTTACCTGTAAGTATTGCTGAAAGGTATTTGAGGGGTAATAGGCTAATTTCTTTGGCATTACCCAGCATATTACAGAGGGCGATTGTGCACCATCGCCACACCTTGTGCCTATGGATTGTTGCATGTGCAGTATCTGCTAGCAGCTAACAATAGTCAGACAATAATTATTGTCTAGTTTTGAAATGTTTATATTGCTAAGTATGATACCTGCATAGAGTGAAAAGTGAAAACATCCTTTTGAGACATTGGTGTTGTATTGGAAGTTACATGAACAATATGCAAATAGCTCCATATTTTAACAAGTGAAAATGGGGATGTAGATATATAGGATTAAATGGCATTGATGTATCAGGATGGATAGGCTTGATAGCTGTGACTTTCTAGTTTCTACAGTGGATTGCATTACAGATACTTCCACTTGGGGTGTGCTTTAACTCATCATACATGACCTCCAATTATGAATGCTTGCACAGTTTCAGCTGTTGGAAATATATCGCTGTTTATATAATATACAACAATTGGATATATAATATACAACAATTGGATCTTGTGACTAGGCAGCTGATCATGTTTTGATGCCGGTGCAAAAACAAAAATGCACCTTGTATTTCTTTTCTTCTTTTGTAGTAATTATTCTGTACACATACTTTTCAACTGATCTACAATGTCCTAGTGTGGTACCCTTGTATTCTTTGGCACCAACTATTTTATCAATGTATGGTACTATGTGCAATGATCCAGTATAGTTACCACAGTTCGATTCATCACAACTTTCTTGCGTTTTTTTTTTGTAGATGAGGAGATTTACAAACTTGGTAGACACCAACTATATACTAGATGCTGTTCGTGGCTCAGAGCTAGTAGAAGTGCAGGTTTGTTTCACACACCTGCAATGTTGGATATACAGTTTGTGTTTTCACTGTTTCATCAAATTAAGATGATGTATTTGTATTCTCAATTGACTTGTATTTGCATTTTACTACAATTGCATATTTACAGGGAAATACCGTCCGAAGGCGCAATAATTGGGCAGAATGGTTACTCCTTTAAGCCCCCATCCTGCAAATCAGGTTAGTTCCACCATACACACGCTGGCTTCTTCTTCATGGCACTATTTTGTCTGTATACACACTTGTGGAAATTAGGTACTAACTGAACTATTTCTTCAGGCCAAATGCAGATTGAGATGGTGATATACGGCTGGTTGCTATCCTGGATAGCCGATTTGAAAGGGTTGCTCATTTGATCACGGACTTAGGTTTCGTGATGAATCATGGTTGTACAGTGGGTCATTTCGGAGTAAGAAGATTTTGTTTGTTTAGGTCAGACTTGTTGGCTGCTCGGAAAGGCATATTAAAGGCATTGCAAGGGGGCAAATACACCAAAAATAGGAAACAATTTCCAGAATATAAATCCTTTTTTGGTCTGTATAGTTTTTGTCGGATAAAGAAACGGTCGGTGCCTTTTCATCATAAGACGGTGCCCTCTTTACTGTTGTGGATGTTCGGTGGGGTTTATTTTGGGATTACCCCGTCATTTTTTGGTTGCATGCACGATGATTCAAGCTACTGAAGCAGCGAGGTTTACCAGAATATTTTTTCCTTTTCACCTTTTGTTTTCTTTGAATCCCCAACATGCTTTGTGAAAAGATTATGCGATTGCTCTCCTTGATGACATGGTCGTCAAGTTGTATTGGCCAAGAGATACAGGGGTTTTTTTTGTAGAATCAGTTATGGTTTATTTGGAATTTTGGCCTAATCCGGAAGCTTTGGGTGATTCATTTTAGAACACATCGATTTGTATTGTCCAAGGGATACAGGGGTTTTGTAGAATCAATTATGGTTGAGTTGGAGATTTGGCCTAATCCAGAAGTTAAGGATGATACCAAAGGCACCCAATCTGAATCCTACAAGGTTTTTCTTCCTCCCCTTTCACCAGATGGACTCTCTTTTGCAGGGCGGGTGAAATACAAGCATATACCCATCTGCTTTCACGAATTCTTCAGAATTTTCTCTCTGATTCTGTTGAAATTCAGGAGTTGGAAACAAACAGTTAGCATGGCCTACAAGAAGCGAGAGGAAGGACAGTAACACGTGCCTGCAGTGTGAAGCAACCACACTGGTAGGTTGGTGGCAAAGCGAAGCTCGTGTGACTGGCTGTGGCTGTGGGCTCTTTGTCATGTGCCCGACCTCACCAACCCAATTAAACAAGGCCCCGTCTCCTCGTCGCCCAAGGTTTTTTGGTTTCTGCCTTTACGAATTTAACAAATAATGGTCTCGTTGCTTGGTTGGTTACTTTTGCCTGGTGATTCCTGCCTGCCTCATTTTCGAATTTAACAAATGATGGTCTCGTTGCTTGGTTGGTTACCTTTGCCTGGTGATTCCTGCCTGCCTCATTGGTTACCGGGGCCGGCCGTGCGCTTGCTTGGCCACGAGATGATGGAACCACAGGGAGATAGATGCCCCCCGTACCTGGATAAGACGACAAGACGTGACAATTTTTCTGTCGAATTTGTTCTTCGGCCCGCACCCACCCTTTTAATTTAATTGTCTACCCCAGTCTTAATCAAGAGCTTTACTTTTTCCTAGTACTAGTAATTGTATTGTATTGTTACTATGTTTAGTTGGTCAATGGATAAGCCTTTCTTTTTCCTACTAGTAGTAATTGTATTGTCTTGTTACTACCTTCTGGTTGGTTAACCGACAAGCCTTAGAAATATAAACGAAGTAGGAGTATAGTTTTAGAGCAAGTTTAATAGTATAGCAAATTACTAGCTCTAAATTATTTATAGTCAACTTAATAGCCAATTCATACAATAGTTACATACTACACTATTAATATATGGTCCCACTTGTCATACACACACTGCGTCTTGGAGTCCGTGCTACAACTGGCTATAAATCTGTAGCCCGTTGTTCTTCTCTCTCCTCTTTTATCTATTTAAATTATATTTATAGCTACCTTATAGCCTGCTATTGTACCTGCTCTTATATAAGCATTATTCACGGTTTGTAACATAGGAGTAGCAAATAGACTACAACTTTAAGAAAACCAAAATCAAATGTTCAAAATTTCACAAGTAGACGATGAGAGTTAGAATCTAGTATATCAAAGAGTCAAGCTTACTCCCTCTGCTCCTAATTAAGGACGAGTATTTTTAGCTTATTTAGTAAACATTAATAGTAAGGAGAAGATTCCCATTCGGTCATCTTATTGGTTAAATTTTGAATTGATTTGATTCTCCTCTGAAGCAACTTAGTGGTTAAAAATGTTTAGATTCCCGTACAATATCTTTAATATCGCAAAAATGATTTTATTATGTACAAAATTTAAATATATAAGTGGTACCATTTGGGAACGGATGGAGTAGTTATTACTTTTATTTACGGAATCACTACCCTCCATTCAACATAAAATTAAAGCACCCTTCTTCTTGGTTTAGGACACTACGATTTGCTCTAAAATTGATGCATTGTGACATTCTACTCTTTCTCTAGCGAGTCATGCTAGCTATATAGACTGGCGATGACCGAAAGAGTTAGCTACATAGACTGGCGATGACCGAAAGAGTTAGGGTTTATAGTTCAGGATGGGAAAAGAGAGGGGAGTTCCTTAGGTTTAGAGGAACGTCTATAGGAGAGGCGGTGGCCATCTATAGGCAATGATGGTAGGTAATCAGTAAGCATCGGTGATTGGATTGAGAAATTAGGAGGGGTAGTTAGGGTTATTGATGAGGTTGCATGAATCTCAAAGCGAATTTTTAAAAATTTGTACCACTAGATATCAAACCCTATCCATGTGTCTTTGCCTTAAAAAAAACATAGTTTCTAGCTATAAATCCGAAGATATGGTATGTTGAGATTTATAATTAGGATTTTTTTTACTGGACGGGAGGTGTATAGGAAATTCCTTTGTTCATGGAACGGCGACAGGCTTGCATCGTCGAGCTAGTAGCAGTAGTAAAAGTTTTGGCAGGACAAAGTGTAACGTGGAGCAGATTTTTTTTTTTTTGGCAGGACAATTGGACAAGTGTAACCGGAATAGGCGAGCGAATGGACCGATCGTGTTAAAGGTGTGGCGTATCCGTACCACTTAGTAGTAGTAGTACCACCGGACGCGTGCCTCCATGCATGCAGCAGCTGTGTGTGTCAGCCGGCTGCACGTATCTCTCGGCCCTCCGCGGCGTATCAGCGGCAGACACCGCGCCGTCCTCCCGGCCCCCCCCCCCCCCCCCGGGCGCCGTACGTCAAAACCGAAAAACGAGCCGGCCCAACCCACCCAAAGGCTGCCTCCCTGCATGCCCCGCTCGGCTTGACGACCATGACACAACCACACGCTCTCACGCTGCTGCTACCCGCGCGGAGGCCGAGAGATACGTGCAGCCGGACGCGCGCGCGCGCTGACACACACAGCTGCTGCAACCTCTCGATCGATCGATGGATCACACATGACGACCACGACGACGAGGACGGGTGTACGTACGGCGCGGCGCCGGCGGCAGACACGTCGGTGGGAAACAGTTTTCTTGTGATGGGCGCCGCCGCTGGCGTTGCCGGACGGGACGGACACCGGCCGGGCAAACAGCGGCGCTGTGTGCTGTACGCGCCCGCATGCATGGCGCATTGGTGCGGCGAGCTGTAGCCGTGTGTGCGCCGAGATGCCTGCAGCTAGCCCTGCCCCTGATTGCACCGCGGCGACCGCTGCATTGACTGCCTAGCTACTGGAGTTACTAGCTACTCCATCCATTAAAAAAAAAAACAACCTAAGACCCACTTTGAATTGAATTGAAGGAAAAATGGAGGAAAAACAAAAGAATTGTAATCCTACACTATTTATGCTTTTAATTCGTAGGAATAAGAAAAGGAAAAACGTAGGAAACTTTTCTATTCCTATAATTCTAGAGAAAAACGTAGGAAAGTTAACATCCACTCTAACCTCTTGGAAAACTTTCTTTGAGTCTATTTCTCTCATCTGATTCCTGCATTTTTGCTGCGGTCTACTCAAACGGTCATTCCTATATTTTTCTTGTGTTTTGCAATCCTCTGTTTTACACTTGCATTTCTACCAAAATCCTGTGTTTTTCCTATTCCTCCGTTTCTTTAATCCTGCGATTCAAATGGGCCCTAAAAACATGGATAGGACACATGGAGGAAATACTCACTCCTTCTCACAATATAGCAATACGGTGCTGGATGGGACACAACGAATTAGACAGCTTTATATCTTGTCTAGATTCAATGTACTATGAAATATCTAATCTGGTCTTAGATTACTATATTATGGAACGGATAGAGTAGCATATGAAAACAATAGAAATTATGTACTGTTCTTTCATTTATTTCGGTTATATGGGCCGATGACGCACATGCACAATCAACATATGTATATACACTAAGGCGGAGTTCTTTTGATAAACTCTAAACGATAACTTTCTCGTTTTCTGTTAACGGGTTTTATGAACTACTAAACGTTATGTTTTTTTAGAAAACTTTGTGTCAAAGTTTATTTTTTTAGAAAAGTCAAATAAAATCATTTTTAAACTTATAATATTAATTCTCAATTAATTATATCCTAATCACTAGAAACGTTCTCCGTGCTGGAGAATAGCTCAAGCCAGCCGTGAGTTCAAACGCGATCTAGCACATCCACGAATGTTTTCTATACACTTACGGAGTACTAAAGAAACGGAGACCAATGATAAATTCTTGGCTTTACAAAATTTATTCAAAAATGTGTTAGCATGTACTCTCTCCGTTCCAATATACAGTAATCTAGGATGGGACAAGACTTATCCTATAAGTACGAATCTTGGACATACCATATATACCCTATGTCCATATTCGTAGTCGTAGGATGTGTCTCACCCCATCCCATGTTGCTATATATTGGGACAGAGGGAGTACGTAACAGTTATTTGCTCTGTAATAACTTCATTACCTTTCTTTGGAGTATTCTTTTAGAGCCCTTTTAAATCGTAGGAATGAAAAAAATGAAGGAATAGAAAAAACAGAGGATTCTAACAGGAATGAAAGTGTAAAACAGAGGATTGCAAAAAGGAATGGAAGTGTAAAACAGAGGATTGCAAAACACAGGAATGACCGTTTGATTGGACCGTAGGAAAAACACAAGAATCGGATGAAAGAGATAGACTCAAAGAAAATTTTCCAAGAGCTTTGAGCTCTTGCTAAGTTTTCTCTAAAATCTCTATTGAATTTTCCATTCCTACGAATTTCAAACGATTGGATATATGATTCAATCCTTCGATTCAAAGGCATATTCATAGGAATTTTTCTTATAAAATTGAAATCCTGCTAAATTTTTATGTTTTTTCTCTAAATCAAAGGGACCCTTACCGCTCATTGTAATTGAATTCAATCTTCCATAATGGAAATGGAGTATACCACTTCTCCGTGTCAAAACAAATTTGATGCTTTCACAAAAATAAAATAAAATTAAAAATGTTCGCCTATGGCTATGGGGAGGCTAGCCAAGTAGCCAGGGTGTCTAGATGGGACGCCATGCAGATGCAGGATGCTGCAGTATGGCTGGCAGGTCTTCCTCCCATGAACACCTTTTAACTGCAGATTGTACTAATTCTCTGCAGTTTTAATCAATAATAAGTGTTCACGAGATCTCTGCACCACGAGACGCTGTCAAAAGGGCATTTTCTTTAGTCCAAGTTGTTGGTACAAATATTAATCAGGCGTAAGGTAGCCGTTCATCCAGTGGGTGCTTCAGTGATCACCACAGTATGTCCACTTTGGCGTGAATCTAGGTTAGCTTGGATGATGTCATTGGCTTCAGGTTTTCAATTTGATAGTATCCCACTTGTTTCCATCTGTACAAGCTATGGCCAATTTCATACTCCGAAAGTATTGGTTGGTTTTGCAATGGAACAAAATTATCCAAGCTTTTTTGGCTGCCAAATTAAGTTTTCTTTTCAACTAATTAGTCCATAAAACTTAATATGATATTGAAATCAGCAGTTCAAATTCTAACTCACGCGCAATCAAATAAAAATTGACAAAATACTTCTATTTCACTACTAGGAAGTGAATTGAAGGGGGCTTTCACGCAAGGAGTATTGATCCATCATCCCTCATCAGATTAAGTTTATAAGTCGACCTTTTTGGTTGAGTTGAGTGGTGCATACAATTGTAACTAATTAAATATCCAAAATTAATCCAATTACTCACGCACTACCTATATATCGGATATTTTTTTTGGGAAAATTTGAACCAACCCTGACCCACATGTGATTGACTCATGTGGGTCCTACATGTCATTGAGATACAGATGACATATCTCAAATTTTATAAAATTAGGGTGGCATGGTTCCAACAAACCCTATTTTTTTTATCGCATCCACTAGCTAGCTTTAGGTTTTTCACATCAATACCCTTTCTAGAGTGGCCACATATCCTGATCTAGGGCTTACAAAGATAGACATCTGAGAGAATCTGGCCAATGAAGGCTTTTCAAGCCACTGGCCGCTGTGGCCCTGTGGAGCAGGACAGAGAAAAACCGGTGGTTTAGCTAGAAATGTCACAACAAAAAAATCCAGTGCAAGAAAGACTTGCGCCAACGTCGTTATCTTATCTAACTACTGAAATTACAGAAAACCGTCGAAAAGAAAGCTACTTTTTTTTTAGGACTGAAAGTTAGTCAAACATCTGCATACATCATCTCCATTAGAGAAATTCTTCGTTTCGAGTAGTATAGGAGAGTTGGTATCGTGAATTTTTGGGGTTGGAATAATGTTAGTTTTGAGAAAATTATAGAATTGACATGCTTCATGTGAAATTTCTATATATGCCATACGGAAATGGGATACTCGTGGTTTCTTTGGAACGGAGGAATTTTACACGAGTTCAGTTCCAACTAACATCATTTGAAATTTCTCGGCATGGCAACACAACACTAGAGAATGTGATTACAACATTTCAACTTTTTTTCTTCTTTTCTTCTTTTAAGTACTAGTTGGGTTTGCATGTAGGAGGAGGAGAAAACGACATGGGAACAAACAAAACGCATCAGGATCATATTGCACAATAGGGACCAAAAGGGAGATGAAGAAAATTCCAATCCTTAATCCACCCATGCATATTGATCGATTCATGATAAGAGTGTTTATAGAAGAGAGGACTCTTTCCTCCTCTCCTGAGGCCCAAAATGTCATTGTTCCAGGAAGCAATAGTTGCCAAATTTGTACAAGCAGCTCATCTTTCTGCCTAATACCATGCGACAAGCTGTAGGCCATTACTACCACCATCATGTAGAACAGAAAACAGCAAACACCAAAACACATAGCAAGGCAATTAGCACTGCCACAGCTAAGCTTCCTCCTAGGGGACTAATTATAATAATGCATTTTGCTAATTGCTAAGCTAGCAGCTGCCAACACTGTACAGATTAATTAAGGCAAGTGTTTGCGAGCAAATCAAAGCTTAATACTGCCACTTGTCTAAGTAGTAGTAGTAACCATAGTAGCTAAGGTCGTCCACCTGAATGTACATGCCTGGATTAGCTAGCTTTGCTGCTAATTAAGCATCATCACAGCAACACAAGCTACTAATCCACCACCATCTCCAAAAACAAATCCAAGATCATCACAAAGCAGCAGCAGCAGCAGCAGGAGATCGATGAGGAGGAAGAATCAGAATGGCGCGGAGAGCACCCTCTGCAGAGTCCTCCTCACCGGCACCGGCACCTCCACCGTCTTCCTCAGCTGCCGGCGGCGGCGAGATGGATCGAAGCGAGGAGGAGAAGCAGAGGCAAAGTTGTCAGTGATCGAGCAGCAGCAGCAGCAGCAAGCAGAGCGATCGATAGGAATTGATGAGGGTTTAGCTAGCTGCATCCATGGATGGATTACCTGCTCGTACTTGACGCGGAGCATCTTGTTCTCCTGCTTGAGCTGCTCCACCTCGGTCTCCAGGTTGTTGACGCGGGCCTGCTTGCGCGCGCGGGACCTCGCCGCGGACTCGCGGTTCTTGATCATCCGCCTCTTGCGGCGGTCCCCGGCGGCGGGGACACCGGCGGGGGCGGCGGCGGCGGCGGCGCACATGTCGAGCCCGAACCGGCGCGCGGGGAGGATGGCGCCGTCGAGCGGCGCGGGGGCAGGGAGGTGGTGCTGCTGCTGGTGGTACGACGCGGAGGCGAAGAAGATGGACGACATCGGCGCGGCATTGCGGCCGTCGCCGCCGCCGTTGTTGTTGCCGCTGGCGTGGCACGGCGAGGCGGCGGCGTCGACGAAGGACGACGGGAGGAGGCCTTGGAGGTGCGTCGAGTTGAGGCTCAGCGCGGTGGAGATGAACCCCCTCGGCCGCGGCGGCGACGCGCTGGGGCTGCTCGTGTTCGCCCACATGTCCTCGTCGTCCTCCATCGCCATATCACCCTCGCCGCCGCCGCCGCCGCCGCACGCCGGCCGACGAGACCTCCTCGCGGTCGGTTTCTTTACCTCTTTTGAGCAAGCAAGCTCGCAAGCTCAGCGTGAGTGTGACACAAACACACAGAGAGAGGAGGAAATAGTAGTAGTAGTAGTAGTAGTGGCCAGTGGGTCGCCTCCTCGCTTTGCTTGGCGAGTTGGTTTTATTCAGTAGCTGAGCTGAGCGGCTGTGACTGTGAGTGGGCCCCACCTGGCAGCACACTGGGTTGCTCACTGGTCATCCGAGTGGGGGCCAATGTGGGGTTGACGCGTGTGCATGGCTCGTGTTGTCGTCACTGCGGCGTGTGTGGAGGGCCCAACTGTTCACTGTGCAGCAGTGACACAAACACCGACTGACCACTGTTGACTGGAGTAGCGTCCAGCGAGAGCCCACGATGGCCGGTCAAATTGTTGTCTCGGGTGTGTTTAATTCACGCTAAAATTAAAAGTTTAATTAAAATTAAAACAATATGATGAAAGAGCTAGAAGTTTGTGTGTAGAAAAATTTTGATATATGATAAAAATATTAGAAGTTTGAAGAAAAAGTTGGGAACTAAACCAGGCCTTGGGCGCCTCCAATCCAATCGGACATGCCCTACTGAAGTGCTGATGCAGCTGCCTCCTCCTGCTGCTGCTGGTAGTGCTTGGGTGTGGCCCTCCTCCTTGGCACCTCGTAATGTTTAGTTGATGACTAGTAAGCTTGTCTAGGTTTAGTTGTGGACATGTGACATAATGGTAAAGGTTTGGTTTAGAAATAGTTGATCATGAGTATGACCTGTTTAACTCCAAATTTAAGACTCTGGCATACTCCCTCTGTCTTAGAAAAAGACAAACCCCTGTTTCCGTGCCCAACATTTGACCGTTCGTCTTATTTAAAAAAATTATGAAAAAAATTAAAAAGACAAGTCATGCATAAAATATTAATCATGTTTTATCATTTAACAACAATGAAAATACGAATTATAAAAAAATTTCATATAAGACGGACAGTCGAAGTTGGACACGGAAACCCAGGGTTTGCCTTTTTTGGGACGGAGGGAGTATATAAGAGCAGATTCCAAGGCTGAGAAAATGGGGTATGATATAATTATAGCAGCGAAACAAACACATGCCTAACAATATATGACATAATTAAAGTGTGAAGTGGTAAAACATGGCAACCAACCGAAAGACCCTTAGAAAACACCTGCTGATATTCATAGGGTCCTAATGACAATTGATGGTAGCTTCGGGAAATTACAACAAAGAGGTCGGAGCCTAGTTTCCATCTATGCCAATTTTTACCCTCCTAAATTATTGACAAATTTTTTGGTTGCTACTAATTTGATCCCACACCATTACAAAGTCTATGCTACCAAAATTGGTGTTATCAAAACTTATCAAGGTTTTCGCACTACCAAAATAGCGCTGTTCGAAGGCACTAGCTACAGCAGCCGCTACAACACGACATTTCAAACCGATTACCGATTGCAGTCATTCACAACTCAGAACTGCCACAACCTTTGCCGCTACGGTAACAAGTCTAGCCTAAAGCAATCAATATTGGTAGGCCAAAAATTAGCTCTAAGCCAAACAAATCCTTACTAACAGCAGAGTAGGAGGGGGTGATTACTATTATACAAATGTTAGTACTGTACAAATGTTTATATTTTACGGAAATGCAAACCTACATTTGGTAGAAAAGTAGGGTGGATTTTTTCAAATCCTCCACCATTAGATATCCACTATGATTTTGCTCTGTCCTTCTCCTCTAGCTCTAATGAGATGACGGCGGTCCGATCAAATAGGATTTGGGGTTTAGGTCAGAGTAGAAGGGGTGAGAGGAGGGCAAGAAGAGAGAGTTCGTCAGGCTTTAGGGATGATCGTGGAAGATGGTGGCCGAATGGTGGATGGCGAAACAAGCGAGGGGCATTAGAGGTAGGCGTTGCGTGGGGTAGGTGAAGAGTAACATGGGATTATGACATGGGGAAGACAAGGGTGGGGGCTATTGCCGTCGTTGGCTTGGGGAGGAGGGGAGGGAGGTAAAAGAGGTTGGCAGACATGCCTCGCCGGTGCCGGCCAAGAGGTAGCACGACGGGGCAGAGAATATGCAACCTTGGGTTAGGATTGATAGGGTTGTGCAAATCTTAAAGCAGATCAAATAGTCTAGAAAATGCAAAATATAGGGAATGTGCTGTATGCATTGTCATTTTCAACCCTACTAATTTTTGTGTTATCAAATTTTCGGTAGGATAACAAGTTAAGCATGTTTTTACTATCTCTATCTTACAAAAAATTGGAAGTTCCGGAGGTTTTCTCTCACAAAAACATTACTCCCTCTATCCCATTTTAAGCACGGCCATGAGTTTTCATGTCTAACTTTAATCATCCGTATTATTTGAATTTTTTTATGATTAGTATTTTTATTGTTATTACGTGATAAAATATTAATAGTATTTTATGCGTGACTTATATTTTTTAAATTTTTTTTAAGAAAATCAAATAAGATGTGTGATTAAAATTGAATACAGAAACTCATGGCTACACTTAAAATAGAACGGAGGGAGTACCAAACTTTGGAAAGGTTCTAAACTAAACATACTTTTCGCTACCAAAATTTGATAGCACCAAAAATGCTAATTTTTAGTATTGCCAATATTGGTAAGATTCATTTCGTAATAAAGTGAATAAGCATTTAGTTTAAATTCCAAATGCTGCAAGTGCTTGGATTGAAACGGAGGGAGTAACAATTTCGTAATAAGACAGATACTGCAACGCAGTGCAGACAGCCATACCACAGTACTACACCCTCTGTTGCAACACTCTGCCATCACCAATGCAGCTTCTCGCTTCTCACCTGCCGATCTCCGCTTCATGGAAAATCAAATCCTAACTAGAAATCTGAACACACACACACATATATATATATATATATATATATATATTCATACAAATACCTAACAACAAAACAACTCAAACTCAACTTTATTTCACAATTCATTATTACATACCTAACTAATTATATGTTTGGATGTTATATACCTAGAACAAAAATCTAACAAAAAAAAAAGTTCAAACTTAGTTCAAACTTGTTTGAACTTGTTAGTAAAGAAGTTAATGTTCATATCTAAACATTTAAAAAAAATTCATACTCATTAAATTGGGTATATACTCAATTTGAATCTTGGAGCCCATACTCCATGTAGCACCAGTTAATTTACCTATACATATATACATACATACATATATACATATATATATATATACATACATATATATACATATATATATGTATATGTATATGTATATATATATCTATATGTATATGTATATGTATATATATGTATATGTATATGTATATATATATATGTATATGTATATGTATATATATCTATATGTATATGTATATATATATATATATGTATATGTATATATATCCAGTTTTATAACTAAAATTAAGGGTTCCTTTGAATCAAAGGAATTATGAAGGAATTTCATAGTATTGAAATCCTATAGGAAATTTTCCTATGTAGCCCTTTGATTCAAAGGATTGAAGTTTACCAAATCCTACAAAATTCCTATGGAATGGCTTATTGCATATAGTTTTTGGAGAAAACTTAGCGAGAGGTCAAACCTCTCGGTAAGAATCCTTTGAGTCTATCTCTCCCATCCGATTTCTGTGTTTTTCCTGTGGTCCAATCAAACGATCATTCCTGTGTTTTGTAATCATCTGTTTTATACTTACATTCCTGTCAGAATTTGTTTTTCATATTCCCCCTTTTTTTATTCTTACGATTCAAATGGGTCCTACTCCCTCCGTTTCACAATGTAAGTCATTCTAGCATTTCCTATATTCATATTGATGGTAATGAATCTAGATAGATATATATATCTCTAGATTCATTAATAATAATATGAATGTGGGAAATACTACTTACATTATGAAACGGGAGGAAGAAAATATTTTTTTTTCATATGGAGGGAGTATCTCAGGAACCATGCAAGCAAGCTGCACAGGTTCCCTCCCAAGGGGAGACATCACCGGACTGCTACTACAACTACGCCTAGTACTGTACTCTCATCATTAAAATAAACCAAACTCGGTACCTGATCCCGTATAATGAATCTAGAATATAATATTAGGATATAATATTAGGATGTAATTTCTCTGCGTAACATCCTAGTAATAGGTTGCTTGTCTTTTGGAATGGAAGGAGTATCATACTAGTACGGGTTTAGTTTATTTTAGAACGAAGAGATTACTGCTTAACTGGCGAAATCTGCAGCAAATCCAAGAGTTGAGTGGTGTCAGTCGTCGCTGCTGCTCAGCTTGGGCACCCACCTCCCTGTCTCACTTTCTCCATCGCAGACAGGCCGATTCGACCTGCGCTGCAATGCAAACGTACGGTCAGTAGTAGCTGGCAGCATCACCTGCGGTCTCGGAGGTCGGAGCCTCTTCTCGGTCGGTAGCTCTAGACCAATGTACGGACTGGACCTGAGCAAAACCACCGGGCCGGGCCAGTGGCAGAAGGCCCACTATTTTTTTAAAAAAACTTGGGGTGTGTTTACTTCAACTTTTATTAAAATTAGAACAATGTGACGGAAAAATTGAAAGTTTGTATGTGTAGAAAAATTTGATGTGATGTTTTTGGGATTCAAACTTCGCATCTAAACACGGCACGGCCTTAAAGTAACGAAGTTTTTACCTTACAGGCATATAAACGTGTTTGGTTTGATTGATTTACTCTTTTTATCACGAAATAAGGGTAAATTTGTAATGAATTGCTAAATTTCTGTTGATACTAGAAAGTTGGGTCCAAAACCTTGTAAATTTCTAACCTTAGAATTTGCTTCGTGATTCGTGCTCCGACAACTAGCCTGGCGAGTTAGGATTTTAGATTCTGGGTTAGAGCGGGGGGTTGTCTCGTTGGGCTCAGAGAGGTAGCCATGGGATGCGCCAGTGGACACGGGCGGATAGACGCCTGAGCCATGGGGATAGAGGAGGGCGGTGGGTTGATACTGGCGGTGAGGGAAACCAGAGCTTATGATTAGGAGGTGGTTGTGCCATTAATGTCCATCTCTTTGAGCGGCTAGTGTTGCGTCCATGGGTCTATGTCTCTTTGAGTGACTACATCAATCCTGTATATTTTTCTTTTTTTAATACTCTATTTTAGATATGTAGGCCGTGTTTAGTTCACCCCCAACTACCCCAGACTTTCAACTTTTCATCACATCACATCTAAAACTTTCTTACACATATAAACTTTCAACTTTTTTTTTCAAACTTTTAATTTTTTTTAGGAACTAAACACAGCCGTATTTTCGCGTAATGTAGTTGTAATACTCTGTATCTTTTTTTCAGTTTTTTTGCAGTACTATGTTTTTGCAATACTCTACGTTGTCATCTGACAACTGTGACGTGGAAAAGTAAAGCGACAGTCTCAAACCTGCGG